CTGTGAAATATTATTACAATTTAAAATAAATTTTCTCTTTGAATTTATTTTAAAATGTAATTTATTCCTGTGAAGAAAAGCTGAATTTTCTTCAGTGTCACATGATCCTACAGTAATCATTCAGATATGCTGATTTGCTGCTCAAGAAACATTTCTTATTATTATCAATGTTGAAAACTGTTGTGCTTCTTAATACTTTTGTAGAAACCATGATCCATTTCTCTAGGATTCTTTGATGAATAGAAAGTTCAAAGTTAATTTATTTGAAATACAAATATTTTGTAACATTATACATGTGTTTGCTGTCACTTTTGATCAATTGAATGCATCCTTGCTGAATAAAGTATTAAAATTGTAAAAAATTGTATATTTTTTTATGAAAAAACTTTAATATACTTAAATATTTGAACAAGAACTTCTCTTTAAAACTAGTGATTTGCTATTTATTTTTCCTTATAAAATCATCTTAGGGTACGGAAAATTCCCTTTAATTGAATAATCACCCATTTTCTATATTGGTGTAGCAGCAGAAACAAACACAACCATTCATTACGATCCAAGACTGAATGAAATGCCCCTCTGTCTGACTTTTCAAACACATGGCTTAATTATTTGCGTTGATCTGTTCAGTGTAAACGTAATAAAGCAAATGGTATCTGTCTCACACACTTCATCGGAATATTACCGCACACATTCTCTCAGCAGTGACGTTTCTTGACAGTTTTGGCCGGTCTCTATATACAGACTGTGTTCCGCTTGGAGTATTGATTGCGACAGCTCTCGCGTCGTATCTCATACACACACATAAGGAGTTTTATGAGTATTCACAGCTAGTTTATGTGTGTTTAGATTAAAGTTAATGAACGCACCTAGTTTAACTGAATGGGACGGCGTGTCTCTGGGGGTCATTTATGAAGTTGAATGGACCTTCTGTTCACTGTTCACCTAGCAGCCGTTCAACACCTTCAGAAACAGTAAAACCACTGATGCTGGAGTGGCAGACCATCTGTATGCGGTGTGACATCACGGTTACGCTGTGTAAAATCACCACCTGTTATATTTCAGGTTTACATATGCTGTGGTGTGATTGGGAAATTGAATGCATTCGTGAAGAAAACATGAATGAGATTTTATATCTATTGAATTTCTTTTAAAATATTTTTTATTCATATGTTGTATGGAAGAAAGCAGTATGAAGTTTTTGCTAAATATCTCCTTTTGTGGTCCAATGATTCCTTTAAAGGAATAGTTCACTCAAAAATTAAAACTGGCTGAAAATTTACTCACCAATGGATCCTCTGCAGTGAATGGGTGCCGTCAGAATAAGAGTCCAAACAGCTGATAAAAACATCACAATAATCCACAAGTAATCCACACCACTCCAGTCCATCAGTTAACGTCTTCAGAAGTGAAAAGCTGCGTGTTTGTAAGAAACAAATCCATCATTAAGACGTTTTTAACTTTAAACTATCGCTTCTGGCCAAAATTCAAGTTCTCTATCCATAATAAGAATTCCTCCAGTGAAAAAGTCCATCCCCTGTTGTCCTCACACATCAAAATCCACAAACATTTATTAGTTTAACTTTAGAGCTGTTTTGGACTGTTTTTGCTTGTAAACGATGCTTGATCTGTGCGTATTTCTCTCCTGATTCAGATGAGATGACTTTTTCACAGGAGAAACCAATATTATGGATAGAGGACTCATATTTTAGCCGAAAGCAATAGTTTGAAGATAAATCCATGTGATGGATTTGTTTCTTACAAACATGCAGCTTTTTACTTCACAAGACATTAACTGATGGACTGGAGTGATGTGGATTACTTGTGGATTATTGTGATGTTTTTTATCAGCTGTTTGGACTCTCATTCGACGGCACCCATTCACTGCAGAGGATCCATTGGTGAGCAAGTGATGTAACGCTACATTTCTCCAAATCTTATGAAGAAACAAAACTCATCTACATATTGGTTGGTCTGAGGGTGAGTACATTTTCAGCATTTATTTTGTATTTTTGAGTGAACTATTCTAAGAATCACCCAATTTCTATGCTTTTATATGTACATAGAACTATGCTTTCTTCTTTGCAAGCATAGTTTGGCTTTAAGTGTCGATTGCTCATAATTAAGTGTGAAAATAACCGAAGGATATACAGTGAAACCAAAAATGATTCAGAGACCAAATATAATTTTTTATATTTTGTTACTAGTGGGTGCAGGACACTATAGTTCATTTAGTCGACCCGTGTCTTCACGTAAGTTGCGGAGGCAGCCTTTGTTCCCCTGAGAGAACAGGGCGGTTGCATTCCCAACGACTGGCTCATACTAGCTCAGTCTCAGCATCAGTTGTGTGCACACAGGGACTTGGTGGACTTGGTG